TTCAGAATGAGGTGATGGTTCTCATCAGGAGTATAGGCCCAATGATCTGTTGATTCGGCAGTTGGGTATGAATTTCTACACACCTCTTCCGTCTTGGCGGTATTGTAAGAGTTAGAGCAAGACCTATGTAGGTCATGAGGTATAATGGGAGCAACAGATGCGTGGAATTTCGACTAAATTGATCAGAGAATGTTATTGTGGTCCTGTGAGTAAAGTGGTGCAAGGTGTGAAGTCAGCTAAGGTATGCAGCCATGTTTTGGTACCGCGGGTAGTTATTGATACGGTGAGCGTATGTTGGAACAGGCCTGGCAGAGAATTCTGGATGTAGGAATTGGGCTCTAAGGCTTATTTGCTTAAGTGAAAAAGGATATCTTCAGATTGATCGAGCTAGGGTACCCAGCCGAGTTGTGGTAGCACGGGCAGGCAACCCCAACACAGTTCCTAGCACGTTCGAGGACGAACGTATGTTTAAGTGGGAGAGGATGTAATGACCTGACCGGTCGTTTTGAGCTCTAGCGTGTCGCTCAGCAGTTTGGGTCATGAGCAACTTCACTTCAGGTATGTCTCTATGCTCGTTCGAGGACGAACGAATGTTTAAGTGTAGGAGGATGTGACAACCCGGCCGGTCGTCTTAAGAATTAACGCCCCGATCACCTATTAACTTTTTTGCCCAAGTTTATTTCTGCTATTTTGATTTGTCCGGACGTTCGGTTTTGAGTTTCGGGGAGTTTTGGGATACTTAATTCCCAAATGAGAGCATAAGTCTTGGAAAATTGACCATAGTCAGAACAGTATGAAGACAGCCTCGGAATGGAAATCCGATGGTTCTGTTAGCTCCGTTGGGTGATTTCGGGCTTAGGGGCGTGTCCAGAGTGTGTTTTGGAGGTCCGTAGCTAATTTAGGCTTGAAATGCCGAAAGGTCGAATTTTGAAGTTTCAGATTCGATAGTGAGATTTTGATCCGAGGGTCGGAAAGGAATTCCGGAAGTTGGAGTAGCTCCGTAGTGTTGAATGTGATGTGTGTGCAAAATTTCAGGTCGTTCGGACGAAGTTTGATAGACTTTTTGATCAAAAGCGGAAATTCGGATGATTTTGGAAACTTAGGCTTGAATCCGAGGTGTTTTGGTTGATTTGATGTTGTTTGAAGTGTTTTGATGATTGGAACAAGTTTGAATAAGGTATTAGGATATGTTTGTGCTTTTGGTTGAGGTCTTGGGGGCCTTGGGTAAGTTTCGGGTGCCTAACGGAAAATGAATGTGGACTTGGGAAGATTTTTATTGCTGGTATCTGTCATAACCGCACCTGCGGTTTGGGTTCCGCAGGTGCGGAGCCGCAGAAGTGGCTACTACATCGCAGAAGTGGAAAAAGGGAGGGCCAGCATAGACCGCAGAAGCGGACGCTCCTTCGCAGAAGCGGACTCTTTGTCCGCAGATGCGGAAACTGCCGCAAAAGCGAGACCTCTTCTCGCACCTGCGGGACCGCAGGTGCAGCTCATCTGGTCGCAGATGCGAAACTTGATGGACAGAATGTTTTAAGTTCTGAAAATGGGACTTAGTCCCATTTTCCATTTTTACCAAATTGGAGCTCGGGGAGAGGCGATTTTCGGGAGATTTTTGAGAAAAACAACGAGGTAAGTGTTCTTAACTTAATTTTGGTTAGATTATTCGAATCTATTACTAGTTTTGGCATTAAATTTATGAATTTAGTTGGAAGAGTTTCAAAAACCCTCTCAGATAGACTTGAGGATTGAGGGTCGAAATGTTATGGGATTTGGATAATTTTGGTATGGTTAGACTCGTGAGAGTGCGAGGCTTTTGAAAATATAAATTTTACCCGATTCCGAGATGTGGGCCCGGGGGCGTTTTGGTCATTTTAGCTAATTTTGCATATTAGCTTAGAAATTAATTGTGGAATCAGTTACTTAAGGTATTATTTACATTATGAAATTGAATTGAATAGATTGGGGCCATTTGGACTCGAATACTCGTGGCAAGAACGTGATCTCGGGTTGATTTTGAGCCGGTTCGAGGTAAGTGGCTTGCCTAACCTTGTGTGGGGGACCTTTCCCCTTAGGATTGATATTGTGATAATTGAAATGCCTTGTACGTGAGGTGACGAGTGCGTACTTGTGCTAATTGTTGGAAATTCGGTTTTTATTTCATTAAAAATAGCCTTGAATTGTGTTTTTCTTTTCTTGCTTACACTACTTGGAAATTTAGCCTGCTGTTAGACTAGAGTAGCATGTCCACTTGACTAAATTATGCTATTTGACCTAACTGCCTTATTTCTATTATGTGAAGCATGCTAGGTTGGAATTATCTGTTTGATTTTGGGATGAAATTGATTGAATTGAGTTCTAGTTGCTGCTGTGTATTTACTTTGGGACTACGGGACGGTATCCCGGGAGCTCCCCTATATGTTTACTTTAGAACTACGGAATTTCATTCTGAGAGATCCCCCTGCACTTTTACTTTGGGACTACGGGACGATATCCCGGGAGCTCCCCTGTATGTTTACTTTGGGACTACGGAGTTGCATTCCGGGAGATCCCCCTGCACTTTTACTTTGGGACTACGGGACGGTATCCCGGGAGCTCCCCTGTATGTTTACTTTGGGACTACGGAATTGCATTCCGGGAGATCACCCTGCACTTTTACATTGGAACTACGGGATTGCACCCGGTAGATTCCCCAGTAATGAGTATTTATATTTGGGACTACGGATGTGGCATTCCGGTAGATCCCCGCGCATTTAGGAGTTGGACTACGGGACTGCACCCGGGAGATCCACTGGATATGATATTTACATTTCGGGGCTACAGGACGGTATCCTGGGAGATCCCCGGTTGTTATCTCTGTGTTGAGCTGTATTTCCTTACGTGGTTTGTTTGCCTCTGTCCTAGTTGTTGTTGTTCTTTTAATTCTATGTTATTTCTTACTGTTGCACTTATTTATACTGTTTATTTCACATTGTTAACCCTTATATTTTATTTAACCTCAGTAGGGCCCTGACCTTCCTCGTCACTACCCGGCCGAGGTTAGGCTTGGCACTTACTGAGTACCGCTGTGGTGTACTCATGCCCCTTCTGCGCACGTGTTTTCATGTGCAGATTCAGGTACTTTCGCTCAGTCTTATCATCCTTGAGGCGAGGCGCTTCTGTAGAGACTTCAAGGTATATCTTCCGCGTCCGCAGACCGAGGAGTCTCTTTCTATTCTTGCTCTATAGTATTAGCCCTTCTGTATTTTCAGTTCTTATTAGACATTCTGGAGTTAGAGCTGTGTAGTACTTCTTAGCTTGTGATTCATGGGTTTCCGGGTCTTGGATTTATGTGTTGGTTTTTGAGAGTTAAATATGGTGTATGCCGAGCGGCACATTTTTACACTGGTTTTTTCTTATTTCTGTTTTAAAGTGTTTTACTTCCGCAAAATTTTGGTTTTTTTTCCGCAATTTAGGCTTGCCTAGTCGTAGAGACTAGGTGCCGTCACGATGGTTCACGGAGGGCGAACTGGGGTCGTGACACCAACAAGATTTCTTGATGGAAGAAATTCATGCTATGCAGAATAATAAAAAGACTGATCTCTTGAACTTTTTTTCTGCAAAAAAGTTCAAGAAATATCAGATATTCCACTGACTCTGATACTACTTGTTGGGATCGAAATAATCAGGGCGACATGCGGAAGCTAACAATTCCGCACAACATACCACTTTATAATTATTAATTTCGCTGTCGCCCTGATTATTTCGATCCCAACAAGTGGTATCACAGCCAGTGGATCAACAAGGTTAACAATAGTTACAAAGCAAATTCAAACCAAGTTACAGTTTATTGACAATAATGATTTTTTTTATCAAATAAGTGAAAAAATAAAAGTCTAAAGCACTACATATGAAGATTAATTTTCAACCAAAATTTTAGAAATCCTACCGCTATATCTTTAAAAAATAACATCCTTCTTCCTTTTCACGTTTCTTCTTATTAACATCTAAACTTGATTCAAAACTTGCATTTGCTCATACTATTAAAGAAATTAGTGATGAAATCACTGCAACAATTACTGAAATCGAGGAGTCTCCTCCTCAATTGGATACTATGGAAGAATTGTTCCTTGAAATCAAAATGATTTCTGAATCCACAAAGCAGCCACTGACCAAGCTTCTAAATGGTGACTATGGAGAGTATCCAAAAAATCCTGAGATGGAGGTTGTTGCTAAAATAACAGCTTATTTCAAGCGCTACTATGATAATCTACAGCTCAAGCAAGCTCATGAAAACCAACAAGATTTCTTGATGAAGAAATTCATGCTATGCAGAATAATGAAAAGACTGATCTCTTGAACTTTTTTCTGCAATAAAAGTTCAAAGAAATATTAGATTATCCATTGGCTCTGATACTACTTGTAGGGATCGAAATAATCAAGGCATCACGCGGAAGCTACCAATTCCGCACAACATACCACTTTGTAATTGTTAATTTTCGCATGACTCCCTGATTATTACGATCTCAATAAGTGGTATCAGAGCCGCTGGATCAACAAGGTTGACAATAGTTATAAAGCAAATTCAGACGAACTTACAGTTTATAGACAATAATAAAATTTTTTATCAAATAAATTAAAAAATAAAAGTCTGAAGCACTACATGTGAAGATTAATTTTCAACCAAAATTTAAAAAAATCCTACTGCTACATATTTAAAAAGCAACATACTTCTTTCTTCTCAGTTTTCTTCTTATTAACACCTAAACTTTATTCAAAACTTGCAATGGCTCGTAGTATTAAAGAAATTAATGATAAAATCACTGCAACAATTACTGAAATCGAGGAGTCTCTCCTTATTTGGATACTCAGGAAGAATAGCTCTAAAGTTAGTCAATGTCATTGCTAAATAGCTCTAAATTGTTGTAGACAATGAACAAAGCCGACATAGTCGAAATCATCACATAAATTCAAATTTATCACACTCGTGTGGAAATATGTTTGTAGGATTAACTAGAACATTGTTAATAGAGAGACATACACCAGGAGACGAAAGAATATACAAATGGAGATGACTCTGAAGAAAAACCTCCCGTTCTAATAGTAGCACCCAATAGATATAAAGTTTCACCAGTAATCTTTCTTCCAATCTTGACCACCTCATCTTTCGACGACTCAAGCAATTTTACACCCTCTTCAAGCCTTTGCCATTTCTTTGAAATTTCGGGCGCTTCTTCTATCTCATTACTTGTCGTTAGATAATTAGCAATATACTCTTCCATCTCATTATTAATAGCCATTTTCCGAACAGCAGATATCGCATGCAAGGCCATAAAATCCACCTGCCTCGTCGAAAATATCTTCCAGTGTGCAGTCGTCTTCATCTTCAAATCAAAAGCTAGTCGCGCTACATCTAAGTGATTTCTCAAATGTTCAACATCAACTTCTCCAATTCCTTCGATGTTTATTATCGAGTGATTTTTGTTCATAATATCCATAAATGTTGTTTCTTGAGCTAGGAGTCTATTACAACTATCTACATAACATGGATTAATGCAGGTGTAACCTATAGCCAATTTTTCCATCCCAATGATTTCTCGTACCCAATTAATCGATTCATCCTTCTTATTGGGAATCAGGTTTTGCACAGCTCTTCTAGTGGAATCTTGAAGTTGTGGGTGACTATCAAAATGATGCATCAAAACATCGATGATAACTCTTTCTACGCAGTTCCACATTTTGCACACAAACTCCTCTGTCATTTTAGAAATCCCATCGACTTTTTCGTGCAGAAAATTGAGGAAATCAATTGAAAGTCCATTCACCATTATGTCCTTTATATACATGATCTCTTCTATCAAGAAGTCTTCTTTCTTTTCAAGATTCCTTGAATGTAACTGAACAGAATACTGGTCAAGCATTGTCTGCAATGACTTCTTATACATAGTACAATCCTCGTTGTTGTCATCGAACTGATTCCCTCCGGGAAGAATTGTCTGCTGTGACTTCTTAGCTGAAGTCACATATTACATGACTGCTCTCAGTGCTTCAGCGACTGTGCTGAAGCACTGACTTGGTAACTTTTTGAGTTCAGTGACATTCGCATTAAGCCTATCTTTGATTTTCCTTTGGATATCTGTTGAAGTAATCTTCACTTGAATTATCATCAGTTTACGAGCTAAAACTGGAATGCTAACCATAGACTTTTTAATCTTGGATAGAAATTCATGCGTTTCAAAAAGCGTAGCCTCTATAATCTCAGATTCTTTAAATGACTCCAAGTCAATGTTATTCCTGACACAGACATAATTAAATCCCATCGCAGTAACTTTACCAAGTACTAGCTCATTAAGGAACTTATGAGGAGCATTATCAGCGTTGGTCACAACTACTAGAGTTCTTTCACATTTCTTGCCGACTTTCTTAGATATATTCATTGACTCAAATGTTTTAGGCAATGAATCAGTACTGGCTGATAATACATTCAAGATAATCCTGTCCTCGGAGGTTATATAATTCAAAATCATCTGGTGGACTCGCTCATATATCTCTTTATTAGCTTCGTCTAAGGTAGGAATCCCTGGTAAATCCACAATTGTAAGATTAGGAAAACCAATCTTCTTCAGGATCAGAGTCAAAGGGTTGTTAGATATTCCATTTGTTGTTCCAGCAATTGTGTTTGTTGCCTGACTTATTTCTAAGGCTACATACCACTCATCATCATCATCGATACTACTTCTCAGTGTCCTCGTTTCCCCATCAAACTCAAGGGAAACCTCAAGTTTACGACTATGATGATTTTGAAGCTTAATAAGGATAGGAACTCGAATGCAGAAGTGGCCTTTTAGCGGAATTTTGATTCCGATAAGGGATGCAATAAGGCTAGATTTACCTGAACATCTGTCACCAACTAGAACAATTATAGGAACTGGAAGGGGTTGGATACATTGTTGCATCACGTTTAAGCTTCGTCATAACTTATTCGCGCAGTCGAAGATCGGGGGCAGGATTGTTTCATCGTTATATGATGAGACAATGGGTGGTACATAATCATCTTCTTGCTGTGAATTGCTTTTATTTTCACTAATGTCCATTGCTTGTTCTCTGTTCCACAATAAGCATATGCACGAAATCAGTACTGACAGTGGCTGAATCAGGAATTTATACAAGGACATTCCAAGAAAAGATACTCTTTGCCACTTAATTAGACTTTTTTCTTATATAAAACGGATTCAATGTTTTATATAAAAGAATTCGTTTTTATCCTATTATAATATCCGAAATTCATAATAACAACAACAACAACAACAACAATTATAATATCATCCAATTCCGAGAACATTGGACTTTTTCTTAACGCTTCATCTTTTCACTCTGTTTATTCTTCAACTTTCCTTGGTTTCTTTAAGAGTATGTTTTTCCAATTTCATACCATAATGACTCATAATGATAAATTAAGGCATTTAAATTATCAAATTTATGAAGATTTCTAAATTACCAAATAAGAGACTTCATATAAAAGAGCTTTATTCACAACAAATTACAACTATAATTGCTCTAAATGAGACCATCAATTGGAGAAAGTTAAATGACTAGATGAACTTTATTCACAAACTAATTAGTAACCCTAATTAGAGACATCAAGTCCATGGTAGATAGTATATGTTATTTACAAATTAAAATCGGATGACAACCATTTGTCACGACCCTAGTTCACCAATTGTGAACACGTCATGACGGCACCTAGTCTTCACGACTAGGTAAGCCTAACACATTGCGGAAGTAACAACATTTGCGAAATCTATATTCGAAGCTAAATAACATGAGTAATGTATACAGTTGCCGCCTGGCACATACACTTTAATACAAAATACTGAAATAACCTCCAAGACCCGGAAACCCACGGGCAACACAGGCTATAAGAAATCTTACACTACTCTAGTCACCAGAATAGTCTAATACAAAGAGGGATCGAAATAACGTCTAACAACTATGGATAAAATGAGAAGGAGACTTTGCGGATCTGCAGACGTAGCAGATGTATACCTCAAGTCCCCAATACGCTCCCTGACAGCTACTGGCAGTACGCCTGCTCAGAAGCACCTGGATCTGCACATGAAAAACATGCGCAGAAGAGGCGTGAGTACACCACAGCGGTACTCAGTAAGTGCCAAGCCTAACCTCGGTTGGGTAGTGACGAGGAAAAGTTCAGGGCCCTACTGAGACAGAAACAATAAAATAGCAAGATATTAACAGTATCGAAGTCTGAAGAAAACTAATGAACACAGCGATGTGATAAGACAGATCAATGCAATATAGAACTGCAAGACAAAACAGAAACACAGAGTAAATACAGCAAAATTACAAGAATACCGACGGGGTCTCCCAGGATACCGTCCTGTAGCCCTTTTTCAACTGTCCAATGGAACTTCCGGGATACCGTCCCGTAGTCCAAATCTCATATCGATATCAAAAGATCTCCCGGGATACCGTCCCATAATCCAATCATCAGTGTGCAGGGGGATCTCCCGGGATACCGTCCCGTAGCCCCAAAATAAAAGTGCAGGGGAATCTCCCAGGATACCGTCCCGTAGTCCCAAAATAAAAGTACAGGGGGATCTCTCGGGAATCAAACCCGTAGTCCCAAAGTAAACAATCAAGGGGGAACTCCCGGAATCCGCATCCGTAGTCCCAATATAAATGCGCAACCAACATCAACGAATTATTCAGAAATTTAAGTACAACAATACAAGACATCAAAAAATACTGGCCTAACATGCTGCACGTAATCACAGTTAAGACAATTTAAACAAATAGGCAGCTTGGATCAATTAAACATGCTCTTCTACGCTAGCACATGCTATAAAAGCAAGTAAAGTAAGGCAAATATGAAAGAGAATCCAAATCAAGTATTTAAGTAAAAATCCGGGTTTCAACAATTTGCTCAAGTACGCGCTCGTCACCTCACGTACAAGGCATACAATTACCAATTATCACATCCTAAGGGACGAAGTCCCCCACACAAGGTTAGGCAAGCCACTTACCTCGAACCGGTGCGAAGTCAACTAGGGAACGATGCCCATGCCACGAGTATTCGACTCCAAATGGCCCAAATCTATTCAATTAAATTACAAATCGTAAATAATATTGCAAACAACTGATTCCACTATTGAAATTAAAGCTAAGGCGCGAAAATAGGTGAAATGACCAAAACGCCCCTCAGGCCAACGTCTCGGAACCGAATAATTTTCACATTTTCAGAAACCTCGTACTCTCACGAGTCTAACCATATAAAAACCTCAGAAATCGGAGGTCGAATGCTTCCTCAAAACCCAATAGTTTAGTCAATGAACTTTCACCCAAATTCTTCCGTTTTTGATCCTTAATTCGAATTTAAAAGGTGGATTTAACTACTAAATGATAGAATATAATTAGAAAGGATCATAGAAATGTTACCCAATAATCTCATCTCCAAAATCCTCTCAGAATTGCCCTTGCCCGAGCTCAAAATTGATTTTCAAACTTATGAAATTAAACCCTCGAAATTTCCTATTTTTGCCCAGACATTTCCGCTTCTGCGGACAAGGGACCGCTTCTGCGGTCCCGCTTAAGCGGCAAAATAACCGCTTCTGCGGTTTCTCATTAAAGGGGTAAATTCCGCTTTTGCGGACACATGACCGCTCCAGCGGTTCCGCTTCTGCGGAAAGATGACCGCTTCTGCGGTCTCTGAGGAAAAGCTAAAAATCGCTTCTGCGATGAGGAAGCCGCTTCTGCGGTTCCCAAACCGCAGAAGCGAAAATACCAGAAGGGAAAACATACCAGCTGCAACAACTTAGAAAATTTTCCCCGTTAACCACCCGAAATCATCCCGAGGCCCCCGGGGCCTCAACCAAAAGCACCAACACCACCTAATACCTTATTCGAACTTGCACCAATCCTCAAAACACCCCAAACAACACCGGAAACCCGATTAAATCAAGGATTCAAGCCTAAGAACTTCAAATTCTAACCAAATACGCTTTCGATCAAAAACCTAACCAAACCTCGTCCGAATGACCTGAAATTTTGCACACACATTCCAAATGACATGACGGAGCTATAGCAACTTCCGGAATTCAAATCCAACCCTCGGATCAAAAACTCACTATCGGACCGGAAACTTCAAAAAAGTCCAAACTTCGGCATTTCAAGCCTAAATGAGCTACGGACCTCCAAATAACATTCCGAACACGCTCCCAACCCCGAAATCACCTAACGGAGCTAACGGAACCATCGGATTTCCATTCCGAGGTCGTCTTCACACTATTCCGAATACGGACCATTTTTCAGCTCTTAAACTCTCATTTAGAGACTAAGTGTCCCAAAACACTCCGAATCCTAATACCGAACGTCCCGGCAAACTAAAATAGCAGAAATGAACTTAGGGAAAGCAGTTAATGGGGGATCGGGGCGTAAATTCCAAAAACGACCGGCCGGGTCGTTACACCATTTTAGCAAAATAATAATTATTAGCTAGATAAGGTCTTATATATGTTTATCATAATGAAGCCGACTATTATTTGATTGATAGATCTTTTATTTTGTAATGTGTAAAATTACCTCCCTCCCTCCCCGAATTGATGGAAGAAACACACATCCAATATTAATAATAAATAAATAAACGAACTACTTCGTATCAATTTTTTAAACAATGAGAAAGAAGGAAAATATTCTAAGCCTAAAGTGAGCACAATTTAACCCCAAGCATTATACTCCACTAATCACTTTCACAAAATTTAGTCAGAGACTGGTAACTAAATAACACATGTCATGTTGTATTTGATAAAAAGATGTGTTTGGTTAAAATCTGATGATAAGTGTGAAAGAATTTTTTTTTTGATATATAAAGCCTATGTAATGATGGACGATATATTTTGCTTGCATCTTCATATAACCTTTTCCTATACCCTTTGAATTACCTAAACTAGGGTTGTAGACCAACTAAGGACCCTTGAGCAAATGAGACAATTGTCTCATATATCGAGACAAGAAATCCCAACCCGTACAAAACCATCACCGCAACCCTCTACCCCCCCCCCCCTTGCCCCCCCTCTCACACCCCCACCCCCCATTTGGTATTATCCGGTTAATGAGATAAAGTATGGCCCATTCCCCACTATATAAACTACTTATTCTCTTCATATTCATTGTGCATAAAACAGCTTTCTTCTCCCTTTTCTTTCCAGTAACAGATACTACAGTTTATTCAAAATTCCAATGGCCTGTAGTGTTAAAATAATTAACGATGAAATTACAGAAACAATTGCTGCAATTGAAGAGTCTCCTCCTCATTTGGATACTCTGGAAGAAGTGTATCTTAAAATCAAAAGGGTTGTTGAATCCACAAATGACTCACTAACCAAGCTTCTTAAGGGTGATTATGACGCCCTGATTATTACGATCTCAACAAGTGGTATCAGAGCCAGTGGATCAACAAGGTTGACAATAGTTATAAAGCAAATTCAGACAAACTTACAGTCTATAGACAATAATAAATTTTTTTATCAAATGAATTAAAAAATAAAAGTCTGAAGCACTACATGTGAAGATTAATTTTCAACCAAAATTTAAAAAATCCTACTGCTACATATTTAAAAATCAACATCCTTCTTTCTTCTCAGTTTTCTTTTTATTAACACCTAAACTTTATTCAATACTTGCAATGGCTCGTAGTATTAAAGAAATTAATGATAAAATCACTGCAACAATTACTGAAATCGAGGAGTCTCTCCTCATTTGGATACTCAGGAAGAATTATTCCTTGAAATCAAAATAATTTCTGAATCCACAAAGCAGTCACTGACCAAGTTTCTAAATGGTGCTATGGGAAGTTTCCAAAAAATCCTGAGATGGAGGTTGTTGCTAAAATAACAGCTTATTTCAAGTGCTACTATGATAGTTTACAGCTCAAACAAGC